CCAGGGGCAGCCACAGCTTCTCTGGGCAACCTGTGCCAGGGCCTCAGCACCCTCACAGGGAAGGATTTCTTCATCATATCTCACCTAAATCTCCCCTCCTTCAGCTTCAGGCCATTCCCCTTGTCCTGTCACTCCCTGCCCTTGTCACCAGCCCCTCTCCAGCTTTCCTGTAGCCCCTTTATGGACTGGAAGGGGCTCTAAGGTCTCCCCGCAGCCTTCTCTTCTCCAGGCTGAACCAGCCCAACTCTCTCAGCCTGTCTCCATAGCAGAGGTCCCCCAACACCCCAAGTCCTTCTCCTCAGGGCTGCTCTCAATCCATTCTCTGCCCAGCCTGGAGTTGTGCTTGGGATTGCCCTGACCCACGTGCAGGACCTTGCACTTGGCCTTGTTGAACTCCATGTGGTTCGCACAGACCCACTTCTCGAGCTTGTCCAGGTGCCTCTGGACACATCCCTTCCCTCCGGCGTGTCAGGTCACCTACCTCTTCGGAGCCAAAAGGCTTTGGCTTCAGGGCAGGCACGTGCACCTCCTCATAGCCCTTGTGCTGTCTGCGGAAGGAGCCGTCGGGAAGCTGGCATCGCTTGTTGGCCATGAAGTGACTACCTTCGGCAAACACCAGATCCTCCAAGTCCAGCACCTGCTGTGGAGCCAGCGCCTGGAAACAGAATGGAAAAGTGGCGAGGATTAGAGAACAACATTCTCCTGCCATTTTCACCTTGGGACTGAAGGAAAAGCAACTGCATCCAACTGGTAAGTGCCTCTTTAGGACATTAGGGGCTTACTCTTGGCATCTGCCTGCCCGTGCCACTTCAAATACTCTTTTTGCACTTGTCAGAAGGGCCAGGAACAGGTAACTTCAAAGAGTTTTACCTCTCCTCCTTGGTCCGGGTCCTGAATATGGTATTAATCCCCCCAAAACAACCCCCAAATCAGTCACAGAACTCCTATTCTCTAACTCTCTCTCTAATCCTACGTGCCAATAAATCTGTTGAGCGTCACATTCCAACCCCAGGTAATCAGGAGCTGATCGGAGGCGACCAGGGTGTTTTATTGCAGCAAGGAGGCCCAGGTGCTGTTACAAGACAGTTAACAGCAGCATAAAAATGTGAAACTTGCAGACATCGGCATTTTCCTGGAAAAGCAGGCATCTCAGTAACTCAAAAATAAGAAGTGGTAAATTTATCGCCCTCTCAGCTGAGTCTGAGTCGCCGTCACCTAAGCAACGTTTCCTATGGTTTCAAGATCCCAGCTGAATCAACAGGCTCCTCTCACACACACAGCAAACAAAACACACATCCCAACAACAACCACAGATGGCGGCGAGGGTCCCACGGTTTCTCCTCTCATCCTGCCTGCGGTTCCCTCTAGCCTTACCCGGATGAGATCTTCCTTCTCCATCTCGTACAGCTGATACGAGAACTTCGACAGCTCAGGATCCCCTTCCGTCTTCCCCATGATCCCTTCTTTTTCGGCTTTGCTTTGTGTGCTGGCCAGCAAAGCGCAGTACAGGGCTGAGGAAAGAAAATTAAGGGATGGCAGGAGGGGTGAAGGGTTGAACCAAAAGAAAGGAGCAAATGACAAGGCCCAAGCTTTACAAAGCAACACCAATGGCAGTTAAAAAGCCTCGGGTTCTCCCAGAATCACATCAGAACAGCAGGGAAACAACAAAGTGGGACGATTAAAGCAAACACCACTCACTTGTCATCCAGTGTTGTCACAGGACTTTACATTAAAGTCGAAGGTGTTAAAGCCCAGGAGCAGAACAAGCTGGTTCTCACATTCCCGGTCATCACTTGCAGTCTGGGAGGAAAAGAAGTGAGGAACGAGGGGCTACCTCTGTGCCCCATGGAACAGGAATCCCTGCTTCGCACAGAACAGGACTCAAGTGGAGCTGAACAGCAGCTACACACAAGACTAGGCACCTGGTTCAGAAATCCCATCCTCTCCGACTCCCCTTCTTCCCTGGAGAATCACGATGCCCAGCGCACACGGGCATCAGCACCGAAATAAACAGGGAAACAGACCCGACTTACAATGATCTCCCAGCAAAACGCTGACAAAACCCCAATCACCTTCCCCTTAGGAGATTTCTTTGTGAATCAAAACTAAGCCCAACCTAGTCCAGCAGTTATCTATCTTATCGGCAAACATGGTGCATCCATGATGGCATTTAACGGTTTAATTTGAAGAAACATAGGTAACAAGTTGTTGGGGCAAATTCCTGTCTTCCAGACAGAGAGGATTTGTGAGACTGCTGCAGTCACGCGGATCAGGTGGCCACTGACCTTCAAAGTCTCCAGCACTTCATCCACTTTCTTCTGGGAAACGATGGCATCGTTGTAGAAGAGCCTCAGCTGCTGCTGGAGCCAAAAGGTGTCGATGTCTCGAGGATGCAAATCCTTCTTCAAGCTCATCAGCTCACCGGATGCCACAAGCTTAAGAAAATCCCACAAAAACATTATTTTCCTGCAAGAGGAAAGCAGGGCCGTGACCTTTGTGTTATGGAGCAAGGTTTGGGACCCCTCTCGACTCAGAGAACCAGCAGATGCAACTGTGCAGCCACCAGACCTGTTAATTATGTTAATGTTTATTTTGGCCTCCATCGAACAGCTTCGAGGCTCCTCTCCACCCGCAAATGACCTTAACTCCATCCACAGACCAAGAGGATCCCCAACCTTCCTCCGGACGACCCTAAAACCACGTTTCACGTGTTCCTCAGTGACTCACGTTGGCCGAGAAGGTGCAACGGACGACGGCTTTATCTCTCTCCATGTCATCATCGGACGCCCCGTCACACACTTTGCTGTAAATGTCCTCATCGTCTTCCCATTGAAAGAGGATTTCCAGTCAGCGGCTCTTGCAAATATCAAAGAGAAGCTTTTCCTCGACAGAAATTAATCACCTGGCAACTCGTTCCTAAGGGGAAACAGCCTCAGATTGAAATGTTATCGTTCAGTCTAATGGATATAGTCTCATTTCCAAGCATAAGGATTTACATACATGGTTATAATTAATGTTAACGGCAACCACAAACATAAAGCTTCTGAATATTGAGAGGAATTAGTCTGTTAAAATGACCAACTACATTCCCCAAACAATCGCAAGTCAAAACATTAACAAGCAGAAGCTGTTTCCACTGAAATCACTTCCCAGTGTGGGCTGCTGACACTTAAATTACTTGGAAAGTAACAGGTTAAATCGGGAACGGCCTATTTTGCACTAACTATACTGGATAAAACATACGCTTCTTAATCAAGACCTATACAATGAACCGACTGCAGGAAAGTCTAAGGATAAATACGTGAAATGAGATTGTCAAAGCAACGCAGGGGACTTAGCCATATGCTTTTTATTAATCTTCCCTTCACAGCTTTGAAAAATCTTGTTCAGGATCTCCGTTATTTAGAGTTCTTTATGTTTGTCTATCTGTAGGCTTCCAGGTACTAAAACCTTCCCCTTACTGTAAATGTTGAAACAAACTTATCCTGCAGTGGTAGTTTCTCAGAAACACATTTTCAAAGCGGCATGAGGTTTTCACCGTGACACGCATATTAACATCATTAACATTTGGGCTTTCACAGGAACAGAACGCCGCTGTTCAGGTAAAGGACCACGTGATAAAAATTATTTCTACTCTCTACACAGAGGTTTTGCCAGCAAGTTCTCCCACAATCTCATATTTCTCTCTCTTATCGTTCTCTCAGCCTCTTCCAAAAACCAATCCCAGGGGACATTTCCACGAAACACTTCCCACCAGCGCATTTGAACGTCTCTCTTCCTCCCGATCTGTCAAGTTTCCCCACGAGATCTAAATATCACCATCTGTTTTCCATCGTTCTGACTCACGATAAGCCTTGGATTAGCAGGATAATCAACAAATCCTCCCCAAGCCAGCAAACAGCCTCTAAAATAATCCGGCTTCTCCTTCCCAGCGAGACATCCCAGCCTGCATCAACGCCCACTTCCCAATGGGACAAACACGATCCCTGCGGAGTGGCTCACAGCGAAGAGAGGGGGCAGAACCTCAGCTGCCACCCCACAGCCTCTCACCTCATACTTCCTCGTCAGACTTGAACTGCACGTTCACCCCATACGTCTCATCGATGTTGTCATCTGCAAGGGAAAAGGGAGTTAATTCACCCAAAAATCTGGGCACCACACGCAAAGTTCACAGATCCGCATGCCTGCCCGCACCTCTGCGCATCCGAAAGATGAAAAGAAAGTGGGTTTGGGGGCTTGAAAACTGTCCAAACATGGGGTTTTTTGGCTTCTCTGTGTGCAAACGCTTCCCTGGAGCAAGGCTGCGTTTGGCCCCAGGACAGCGCCATCCCGTACCCATGTTCTGGATTTCCTTGTCTCCGCCGTAATCCATGATCTTCTTCCCCAGGTTCACCAGCACGTGGTAGTGAGTATCATCAGGCTGCCCCAGCAGATCGATCTCCTTCCTCCTCTCCTTATTGCGCAGCTTCTCATTCTTCAGCACCGCCAGGACCTCATCGGTGGCTCTGCAGGGTATGTCGCGCAGCTACGAAAGGAATCACGTGTCACATGGGAGAAGAAATTTGCTCCGCAAAGGTTCCCAAGCTGTTCCCATCCTCACCAGGTCCCTGAGAGCCACCCAAATAAAACTCAGCAGCACCTCGTAGGTCTCGCGGGTCTCCTTGGTTTTGGGTTTGTAGATGATGCCCACCATCTCATTGATGCCCTCGGAGAGCAGGGTGTAACCCTTCATCTTGTTGATGTCATGTCTGTCCTCGTCACGCTTCCTTCTCCTGCAAAGAGGGGCAGGGAGGAGAGCACCCAGGTCAGCCCCGCAGCAGAGCCCTGCTCCTGCTACTTCCAGTACGGCTACTCTCCTTCGTTTGAGAAACACAGGAGTTTAAAAAGAGGTATTTTGTAATTTTTTCACTTCAATTTTAGTTTCCTGACACGGAGCAAGTGACTCCAGTTGAAGAAAAGAACATTTTTTGTGTCTTCCAGGTTGACAGTTTTCAGACTGCAGCCCTGCGCTCGCACCACCAGAACGCCTCCCACTACAAAACATTACCCAAACTGTTAAATTCCACCCCATTTATAGCACTAAACCAAACCAAACCCGCCTTATCCAAAGACAGGGCTAAAAAAAAAAAAAAACCCAACCAATTTCCAGGAGTGCTTTTCATGCAAATAAAGAGTCCTGAGCTGGGGCCCTGCACCCCCTCGGCGATGTGCTCGTACTCACTTCACTCGTCTCTCCTCGTGCGGCTGGGGTTTGGGTCTCTGCGCCTTGTCCCCCATCCTGGTCCCACAAACGGTTTAGGCTTACGTTTAGGGTTTAGGCTTCAAGCTGGGACTAAGCCGCTTGGTGCCATCCTTGGGCTTGTTTCAGCCAGGAGAACCGGCAGGCTCCCCGCCCGGATGCTCCGTTACCTCTCGGAGCCCAGGAAGTCCCGTTTTAAGGGGGAAAACGTCCCTAAAAGAAATTACAAGAGGGGTTCAGTCCACCAAATCCCCCCCTGGCCCCGGTAAAGGGCCGTTACACCGAGCTCTCCTCAG